TCCTCATCCCAGCTCTTATGCAATTTCCCCTATAACAAACACATTCCCCGAGCCTCTATCTTAATCATTTTTTAATGCCCATACCCTAAAGGGAGGATAAGCTGAAGATATGACCAACTTCTATACTAAAAGAGAAGAGGCTACATAAATATATATAGAAAATAGAAAAGTATAAAGAAGACCATAAAAAATAAATAAATAAATGAATGAATAAATAAAAAGAATAAATAACTTTAACCCTAGGAATGAGACAGATCCCAAGAGGTATCTTTGGGTGCCTATACTTAAACTGCCACACCACAAGACTTCTGGAACAATGTCCTTTGGAAAGACGAGTGCAAAGCAGAGTTGCTTGGCATGGGCTTGTTTCACTGCAACAGGACCTGGTAACTTGACTGCATGTCATTGAGTCGGCCATGAACTACTTTGTGTACCAAAGAGTCAAATGTGAGGCCATCTGTCAGACAATTAAAGCTTGGCCAAAACTAGGTCATGCAGCAGGACAATGATCCCAAGCACACCAGAAATCTACAACAGAAAGGCTTAAAAAAAAAAAAGAATCAAGGTGTAGCAATGGTCCAGACCTCAACCCGATTGAAATGCTGTGGCGGGACCTTAAGAGAGCTGTACATAAACAAATGCCATCAAACCTCAATTAACTGAGGCAATGTTGTAAGGAAGAGTGGGCCAAAATTCCAACACAATGATATGAGAGACTTACAAAATCATACAGAAAATATTACTTTTTCTATTGCTGCTAACGGTGGCTCTACAAGCTATTAAATCATATGAGAAAAGAACAAAAGTGCGCTGTGCCTTTAAGTGCTAATATAACAATATGAACAATATGTAAACCAATAATGGTCCAACTGTAGTGAATAAAGTGCAAATACAGTATATATATATTATTAAAGTGCAAATAAATATAATCCAGTGGTAAATACCCTGTGAATATGTGCTCTTTGTGAAATACAAACAACAAAGAACTTACTCCTTTAAATTTAGACTCTGTTGACACTTGAAGGAGTATCTCTTTAAAACGCTCCACATAAAAACATAAGATAGAGGGACAAAAGAACACAATATAGTGTAACTCTGTATCACAAATGTAACCAGGAAATAATAAAAGAATATCACTCACAATGGTAGAGCAGAATAAAGTCTGCTCTAACTATAAAAGCGTGCAAATCCTCTCATCAGGATTCTGTAGGATAGTAGATAAATGTGCTTAAAACAAGCAGGACGGCACCAAATAAAAATAAGACTTTATTGGTATAAAATTTCACAGTGAGTCATCACCCTTCTCCCTGGAAAGCCAAGCTGGTACGGATCACCTTCTGACTCGCGGCATGCACTTGCGGTCTTTCAGTGGATAGATGCTTCCGGGAGTAGGAGGTGCTGCTGACACGTAATGACGTTGTACGTCCAAAAAACGTGATGACGCGTTTCGCCTTGGCGGCTTCCTCAAATCACGTTCGAGTGGTTGCCGTCTCTCAGAACTTATACCCGTCTATGTGGGCGTGGTATCTGCTTCAATAGTCCCAATTGCAATCAAGTTACATGGGCTCCAAGGCATATCGCCTAAATGTCTCTTTATGAAAAATGTCCATGATAACAAACATCACATATATCCTACTAATCCTACTAGTAATACCATTATAATTAATTGGGTAAAATACACATATATAAATACACATCCTATTATATGGAAGAAAAAGAAAATATAAAGGTTACTTTATAAAAATATAAATATATATACATGGTCTGCTCCATTTTGGATTTATTTTTGCTAAATAATATAGTGTAATATGTCATGTATTATTGATAATCTGAGGTTGTTTTTACTTAATTTTAAGACCTGCTAAAGAACAGGTGATTGTTATTATGTCCTGATATGTTAAGCCATAGAACCGACAGTGCCTGTGCTTTCTCTTTCCCATTGTCAATGTCTTTTGGATTAAATTCATGTAGGACTCTATTCATGCATAGGATGTCAAGCACTATGTTTGTTTTTCTAATTTTCTACTCTTCTTTCTAAAAAAGCAAGAAACACCGTAAAAAGTATAAGCACATTTTCATTAAAAATTAATTAGTCTACTTTCCCACCAACATGAATCTTTGAGAAATTTTATATTTATTTATATATTGTATTGATGTTTCAGTATTCATTATGCTTGTTAGTACAAAAAAAAACTCTTACATTTGTATGTACATACATTTGCATCTGCCTATGTACCTAATGAATTACAGTTTGACAGCTTTTGTTGCTGAATTTGTTGCTGAATTTGCTGAATCAATAGATGACCTTATAATATACTGTGTTATTGGATCAGAGTTATATAGAGGATTTTTCATTAACCTGGACTGTGGAGAGTTGCAAATTCTAGCCCTTCTCAGACTCCTTCCTGAAAATATGCCGAGAGCTGCCAACATAGTACCCCATTAATACAATACAAGATGATGCCAAATATCTTGGCATACATTTTCCAGCATCCACGTCCATATGCAGTTCTATGCTATAGGACACAGTAGAAAAGCACTATGATTGGATGCCTATTGACAGTAGAAGCCAGTAGTAGAAAGAGGATCCGGACACTTCAATATCTTCAAGTATGTTTATTGGAACAAGTGGGACACCGCAACATTTCGACCCCTAATAGGGTCTTTTCCCAGCTGATTAGGGGTGGAAATGTTGTGGTGTCCCACTTTTTCTAATAATCGTACTTAAAGATATTGGAGTACCTGGATTTTCTTTTTGTTACAGGTATCTATTCCTCTGGTCTAGTGCTGGCCCAAGGTCCAGTTTTAGCACCCTTTACTTCATGGTTCTTTTTTCCATATTTACAGCCGAAGAGCATTTTTTTTAAGCAAAAAAAAAAGATGCTGTATGCCTTTAAAAGGTTCTTTATTTTAGAGTATTATTATTATTTGTATTTATATAGCGCTTTACAATATTATGAACTGGGAGGGGGGATTTACAATAAATGGGACAATTACACAATGACACAGGAACAAGAAGTATATGAGGACCCTGCTCAAACAAGATTACAGTCTTGAAGAGGAGGGGTACAAAAAAACAGTAGGGCAACAAGGATGACAGCTACCAAAAAAGATGGAAAAGTAGCAGCACTGGAGGTGAGAGTGGAGTATGGCTCTTTTAGAGAACAAGAGACAGATAAGGATAAGTATAGATACGTTACTCTGGGAATCCATAAGCATTTCTTAACAGATGTGTTTTGAGGGACTTGTTAAACAATTGAAGACTAGGGGAGAGTCTGATGGGGGTAGGCAGGCTGTTCCAAAGATGACCATTTCCCAGGGACATATGTTGGCCATCAGCAATAGTATCTAAGGCTGGAATAGGAGAGGTAAAATTATTTAATTCCAGTAGTAACTACTCAAATGTAGAGCCCCGGGTGTTGTAGAACTAGATCTCCAAAGATGCTGTTGGATATTCATTTTGGGCAACCTGAAATCTCTAGCATTATTTGAGGTGGAGAAGACTCATTATTATACCAGGGGACTGAGTATTCCTTTGCATTATATTTACAGTTTGGGAGAAGATGACACATTCATGTCAAGGGACTTTTCCCAAGTTAAAGTAAAATGATATGCTTATATATTTATCAGCCACAACACTAAAACCTGCCTAATATCATCTTAGTACTCCTCATGCTGTTAAAACAGCCCTGATGCATTGAGGCATGGACTCCACAAGATCTCTGAATGTGTCATGTGGTATCTGGCACCACACAATACATTAGCAGCAGATCCTTTAAGTCATGCAAGTTGCAAGGTGGGACCTTTATTGATCTGATTTGTTTTTCCAGCACATTACACAGATGCTCAAATGGATTGAGATCTTTAAACTCTATGTCATGTTCCTTAAGCCATTCCTGTACATTTTTGCAGTGTCAGCATTTATTTTCCTGCTGAAAAAGGCCACTGCCATCAGGGGATTATCAAAACCAGCCAAACAGTCAGCACTTTCAGAAAATCTCAGAATTATCCACAAGGTAGATCCTGAAAAGTGCATACTTTAATTTACATAATCCAGTAACACCATTGCCATAGAAGGGTGTATGTGGTCTGCATCTCTACGTTGGTGGTAGATGTCAAAGTAATATCCACATGAATGCAAAGGTTTCCTAGCAGACGATTGTCCAGAGCCTAACATTGCCTCCACCATCTAACTTGGATTAGAGTTTAGTGGTTTATGGATAGAGATTAATTACGTTTTTAAAATGTATTTATATATTTTTTTTATTATTCTTCAGCTATCTGCTACTTATAAAACTGAACAAATTATATTGGTGCCTTAGAATCTATAAAGTAAAAACATAGAAGTTAATGTTATTCTTATTATATCTTCTTCGTTTTGTTACTGATGTAAATGTAATTTAGTTTACAATGTGCTGTTCAGTAAAGTGCATTATTTTTTCTGCTATCTTCTAGTAATAGGCTTATCATCCTTTGTGTGTTTTCTCCTCTAATAGCTGTGTGAGGACCTTATAATACTGTAAAACCTTTTTTTAAGTAGAGTCAATTTAGTACCAGCTTAGTGTGTTTAATACTTTCTAAAAGTGTGTGTGTATTGGTGTGACTATACCTGTGTCCATTATTTTGTGTAAATGCGTGTATATATAGTATCTCACAAAAGTTAGTACACCCCTCACATTTTTGTAAAGATTTTATTATATATTTTCATGTGACAGCGCTGAAGAAATGACACTGCTACAATGTAAAGTAGTAAGTGTACAGCCTGTGTAACAGTGTAAATTTGATGTCCCCTCAAAATAACGCAACACACAGCCATTAATGTCTAAACCATTGGCAACAAAAGTGAGTACATCCCTAAGTGGAAATGTCTAAATTGGGCCCACGCTTGACACCATCTGAACCAAATATGTCTCATCGGACCACTGGACATGGTTCCAATAATCCATGTCCTTAGTCTGCTTGTTTTCAGCAAACTGTTTGCAGGCTTTCTTGTGCATCATCTATAAACGAGGCTTCCTTCTAGGACGACAGCCATGCAGACCAATTTGATGCAGAATGCGGCGTATGGTCTGAGCACTGACAGGTTGAGCCCCCACCCCTTCAACCTCTGCAGCAATGCTGGCAGCACTCATACGTCTATTTCCCAAAGTCAACCTCTGGATATGACGCTGAGCACGTGCACTCAACTTCTTTGGTCGACCATGGCGAAGCCTGTTCTGAGTGGAACCTGTCTTGTGAAACCGCTGTATAGTCTTGCCCACTGCGATGCAGCTCAGTTTCAGGGTCTTGGCAATCTGTTTATAGACTCGGCCATCTTTATGTAGAGCAACAATTCTTTTTTTCAGATCCTCAGAGAGTTCTTTGCAATGAGGTGCCATATTGAACTTCCAGTGACCAGTATGAGAGAGTGTGAGAGCGATAACACCATATTTAACACACCTGCTCCCCATTTACACCTGAGACACACTGTAACACTAACGAGTCACATGACACCGGGGAGGGAAAATGGCTAATTGGGCCTTGTTTCTAAATTTTCTAAGAATAAACAAGACTATTTTATATCCAAATCCACTAAGCAAAAAATATAAAATAAATTCTGTCTTGACCTGTTACTCATCCAATGTGGTATATCTCCTCTGGTGCCCATGTGGTCTAATATATGTAGGTATGACCACCAGACCATTTAAAATACGCATACGTGACAACTCTCTGTACTCTATTTTTAATCAAATGTTCTACCCAGGAACAAGAATTTTCATCTAGACCAATTCATTTGAGTTTGAACACTAACCTATTATGTGTAAGCTTATCAAACACCTTAGCAAAATCCAAGTATTTAAACGGGAAAAGTACATTTGTTATTATTTCCCAAGTACATATTAGTGTCTACATGTTATTACTACCAAGGTAAGGTACTCATTAAATCAACCTCAAAAGGATAAAAGATGGAGGGGACCTTGTCTCCTGGCAAACTGTGGCTCGGAAGAACTGCATCTGGATCCCTATTCACTTAGCTATCTTACTGAAGCTGGATTCCTCTCCACTTAGCTATCTTACTGAAGTAGCTCTAAACATCCAGGGTACCAAACTGAGATTATAGAGTTTAGGTTAATTTACAGATCATCACAAGCCATGGTTAACTGAGATATACATTATTAATTTAAACATCTTTCTAATACAGTTTCATTGAATTGTTAGTACCTCCACCAGTATATTGCTATGATTTCCCCCATAAAATACATTCTATTTAGATCTGAAGAGCATTGCAAGGAATAATGGAATTTTGGAGTGTTTCACAGGAAACAGATAACAATCAGCACTATCTGCTCACCTGAAGTCAGTACAAAGAGCTTAGACAGCAAAATCAATAGCAAAGAATAGAGGAATTAAAGAAAGAAGTGCATTTCACTAAATGGCATCTATTTACTGAGAAAAATAAGGAGGACACAAAGAAGCAATTTCCAAGCACAGCTGTCAAGAAGTAGATTATAGCAGTAAAACAAAAAACAAAAAAATAAAACTAAAAACATAACTTTATTGGTATACAGAAAAAGAATATCTTGTAATACTACAAAAGGGAATAAAATAAAACATGTCTGTGTGTTTTGATATACAGAAGAGTAGCATGATCAGCGATGGCAGGGACATTGACTTTATCAGAGGCTTGTGGTGGGTTAGTCATGTCACTCAAACCCCAGTAGAGGTCAATTTGTAGTCAAGAAGAAGTTAAGCTCGGCTTAGAGGTGAATCTCTCTAAGAGGATTTTCTAGCTTATAGCATGAAAGTTATGACATTCTTATATCAAGAAACACAGTTCCTTAGCAATGTTAAATTGACAAGTTTGTTATTGCGAATCAACCAAAGAAGAAAGGGAACCTGTGGTGGGTCGATTAGGGTGGTGAGTCATCACAATAAAACCAAAGAACACTGTAGCATATTAGTTAAGAAGCAGCCTTTATTAGGGGCTAGGTTGATGTCAATCCTTATAAAGTATATCTTGCTTTGCATGTCTTTGGTCCGTGCAGGTGTAAAATATTGGGACTTTCATGCATGCTATTACAAAATATGTCTTTTGATACTATTAAAATGTGATTGCTATTGCATTCTTCTGAAGTCTGTATAGATGGAGTCTATTCAAAGTGATCTCTGTTAAATTAACAAGAAACTGACAAAACCTAGGAGAAAATAACTGCTTTTGAAAAAATCCCAAACTTTTGTAAGACCTTATTTTCTTATGTAACTCTAGCATACTTATTTGGATTTACGTTTGTAAGGCATGTGTCAGTTTGCCATAATTTATTTCTTTGTTGTTTCATTTTATGTTGCATATTTTCAATGCATTATATCCATCATGCAATGAAAGAGAGAGAAGTTGTTGAAGCCGTAGAGCAGGGCTGTCCAACCTGCGGCCTCCCAGATGTTGCTGAACTACAACTCCCATGATTCTCTGGCTATCTGTTTCATTGAAAGAATCATGGGAATTGTAGTTCAGCAACATCTGTGGGGCCGCAGGTTGGACAGCCCTGCCGTAGAGTATCATTTTAATTGCTCATTCCATTCCTCAGAGTCCTCCAAATGTTTGATTGAGAGACCCTTCCTTCTAGGATTGGGAAAAAAAAACATTTCACAAGGAATCATTCAGGATTATTTACTAAAGTGAGAATTCAAAGTGAATTTAAATGCATTTCAAATTTAGGGCCAAATAAGCCAAACTAGAAAGAGAACAGACTAGGAGAATGTATCTAGGCTGTTAGTTTTTCAATAGCCCTGTAAAGTCTGCCTCGATAGCATGATGTAGTTAAGAAATGCATGGCCATATTATGTTGCTGTTACACTCGTCTCATTTTTATCTAAATCAAAACCAATTTCTGTGATTAATGCCTTATCACGTGCCATGTGGCTTGTTGCCAGTGAGTCAATATATAATCCACACATAGCATTCCTAAGCAACTTTTGATTACCCATCTCTTTCTTTTGATAATCTTGACACTTGCCTGCATTGCTAAAGCTTAGCTTTCTAGATGGAACAGTCATGGAAACATGTCAGGTAAACACTGCATTATCCCGCAATCAGCAGACTGTCACCGGTCCTTCTGAAAACTCCATTAAAAAGTGAAAAAAATGTACGTGCAAGACAGACAAGGATAGCCACAAAAGTATAGGTAACAACTACAGAAAAATAATTAATATATTATATCATATCAACAAACTTAAACAAATAATCCAGAAAAACACAGCCGGATGCATTGCGCATCTACAGTGATGTTTCCTCAGCAGCTAACCTTTAAGATTGAAATGTGACACTACCATCAACGTTCAGCTACTTCCTTTTGATTTTTATGCCCCCCATTTTTGAAGTTCTTAATTTGCCTATTAATTTGACTTTGACTATTTATTTATTTTTTTCTTGCTAATTGAGGATGCGTCCCTTTTTATGCTAGGTATTAAAACATGCCTGGTGAACGTAATCTGGTGAAGCATAGTTCATGCTCTTTACTCTAAATTTTGCGTACTTGTGTCGACCTTGGCTGAATGTAGTTCTGAAATATTTGTAAATCGTTTGCGATAACTGAGTCCAAGAGATATTAATTCAACCATGTATACAGTATTATTGATTATCTACTTTTGTAGCATATAGCAACTATCTTTTGATCTTCTGTTTGCAGAAGAAAAATAGGATTTGTATGCACCGTTTTATTTTGTATACAGCCTAATTGAGCATTTTTGTGACAGTTGCGTATGCAATGAATACATGCAATGAATATGGATTTTTTAGAATTCTGTGACTCCTATTGCTTCAAAACCCTACTAATTGCAATGGACCGATTTAGACTTAATTTCATAGCTGATTCTGTTAATACGATTTAATTATTGAAAATGACACTTCTGTTTCATGTGTTGGTTACATATTTTATGTGCCCCTGGGCTGGATGGCGAGGAAAGGGTTAAATCTTACTTTTTTTTTTCCAGCGCCGGGCGGGGAGCTCTCCTCCTCCTCTCTGCCTCCTCTCCTACTCTTCGGCTGAATGCGCATGCGCGGCAGGAGCTGCGCGCACATTCAGCCAGTCTCATAGGAAAGCATTCATTCAATGAGACGGCCACTAGAGGCTTTAGAGGCTGGATTAACCCTAATAGAGGCTTTAGAGGCTGGATTAACCCTAATATAAACATAGCAGTTTCTCTGAAACTGCTATGTTTATTAAAAAAAAAGGGTTAATCCTAGAGTGACCTGGCACCCAGACCACTTCATTAAGCTGAAGTGGTCTGGGTGCCTAGAGTGGTCCTTTAATAAAAATGCATTGTCTGTAAAGTGCTTTGTAATATGGCTCTTCTCTATCCATACATCACAATTCCTACTTAATCCCTCACCTTCATTTTGTGGGCCATTCCTCCAAATTCATATGTCTTAATATAATTTTTATTTTACCCTCATTTAACATCTACCTCCTCATTAGGTCATTTTTCCAAAGTCTCTTATTTATGCACATTCTTGCTATTTTGTTTAATTGTAAGACATAGAAAACCTCATCATGTGTAGGTTGGAAGAAATGACTTGTTTTTGTTTCAGTTACACACTCTCTTAATAGTAATGATGCCCAGTAAGTTATATCAACCATTCTCTTACTACTTAATCACTTCAGAGAAACTGTCAGATCTAACAGCCAGAATTATATGGTTTGTTTATTGCCTGCTAAAACTACAGAGTTGACATCAAAAATGTACATGCAAAAACGTCCATGTAGTGGGCAGAACCCTGAAACTCAACATGGCTGTTTTGCCAGAGCAAGCATTTAAAGAGTTGACTAAATTATCAGCTTGTTAGTGAAGATTGTAACATAAACAGTAATAAATTAAGGACAATTAGCGCTAATAAAAACAAAACCCAGTGTAGTATAAAATCACCCAAATGTAATGTCATTTCTTTACACTCACAATCAACTTAATAAAACACATAAAAAAGGTGGTAGTGCACACTGTAGTTATAGTTACCTCCTGACACACCGGTAAGCTCATCTGGGCAGGGCCCTCTTCACCTACTGTTCCTGAATGTTATCTGTGCTTTGTTAGAATTAACTATTTGCCTTATTTTCCTATTTTACAGCACAGCAGAATATTGGCGTTATATAAATAATTGTTGCCTTTGGAATCCCCCTTGGCACCATCAATGGCTCACTGCCCACTGGCTAGAAATGACTGTTTAGATAATAATAATAATAATATTGAATGGGTTAACTAGACAGAGTAGACACAGCTTTCAATTGTGTCCAAGTAGCCCCTGGAGCATTAATACAATTATTACTAAACTGAATGGTACTCATTTTATCAAGCTTGAACAGATAAAAAGTTGGGTCGAGCCTGCCAAGAATCAAGTCTGCAG